CACACACACACACAGACACACACACACACATACACACACACACATACACACACACACACATACACACACACACACACACACACACACAGACACACACACACACACACACACACATACACACACACACACATACACACACACACACAGACACACACACACACACACACATACACACACACACACACACACACACACACACACACACACACACACACACACACACACACTCACATACACACACAGACACACACACACACACATCTGGCACATCTACCAGGCTGGCATGTTCAGAGGAAATAGAAGTAGGCACCGCGGTCTGTGCAACACAACAGGACCACTCTTTCAATTTCCTGCTCCAGTTTCCATTCCTGCTTTATTCCGTGTAGCGGCCTGCAACGCAGGATTCTCAAAGGGAGAGCAGACACAGAGCCGCAGAGCTCAAAGCGACAAAGCTGATTTTGTCGAAGGCAATATTTGCGATAATGATCTCAATAAAAGCGAACCGGGTTAGCGGGGTTCCCTCTGAGACTTGACTCCGAACACAGCAGTCCTCTGGAATGGATTTTGAGCTGTGCAGACGCTCATCTGAGGTGTCATTTATCTCACATCCAGACTGAAGCTTCTCCTTTTTGTGTTGAATTGTAAAGCTGCACCAATAATTTCAAGCAGCTGTGTCAGAGCAGCTACTCATGGAGTCAGTTTGTCTTCTGGACTGAAATGTTCATGCAGAGCACTTTGGAGTCCTCTGAAAGGCCATTTACAGACATGGAGGAAAACCCCACCATGGTCACAGAAATAAATGGAATCTGACTAAAATAATAATAAATAAAAATTCTATGAAATTTAACCAATGAAAGTCAGACATTGCTTTTCAATCATGCTTCAGTGGAATTATTTAAAAATAGAAACTCTTGGAACAGGCCTGGGAAACTGTTGAAAAATCAAAGATCTGAAACGTAACTAAAGAGCTGAGAAAAGCTTCACCAACGTGAACTTCAAGCTCAAAAACATCAGCGTCAGATCGCGCCATCCGTTGTTGTTTGAGCCAAAGTGGAGTACATGGGAGAGGACCAAGGAGGACACTGGTGCTGAAAACAAATGGTAAGAAAGCCTGACTGGAATGAGCCAGATTACATGTTGAAAGGCCACAAAGCTTCTGGGAGAACGTCCTTCAGACAGACGAGTCAAAAATGGAGCACTGTGCTTACTGTGAAACATGGAGGAGGCTATGTTATGTTCTGGGCTGCTTTGCTGCATCTGGCAAAGGGTGTCTTGAATCCTTACAGGGTGCAACAATATCTCAAGACTATTAAGTTATTCTAGAGGGAAATGTGCTGGCAGGTGTCAGAAGGCTCGGTCTCAGTCGCGGGTCACGGGTCTTGCAACAGGACAACGACCCCAAACACACAGCTAACCGCACCCAAGAATGGCTGAGAGGAGAACATTGGACTGTTCTAGTGGCCTTCTATGAGCCCTGAGCTCAGTCAGTCGCCTCGTGCTGCAATCTTTGAAGGAGCTGAAACCTGCCGCCTGGAAAAGAACCCCTTCAAACCTGAGAGGACTGGAGTAGTTCGCTCACGAGGAGTGGGCCAAAATAATAATAATAATACATTTTATTTCAAAGCGCCTTTCAGGACACCCAAGGTCACGTGACAGAAAACACGTAATAAAATACAATAAAACAATAATAAAACCCAAAGAAGAAAAAACTGAGAGAAACATTTCAATAAAATCAGAGGCTGTAGGCAGATTTAAACATGTGTGTTTTGAGTTTTGTTTTGAAAAGGGTAAAACTGTCGACGTTCCTGATGTCTGGGGGAAGTGAGTTCCAGAGTCGAGGAGCAGAGCGACTGAAAGCTCTGCTCCCCGTGGTAGCGAGACGGGCAGAAGGAACCACAAGATGGATGGAAGAAGAAGACCTGAGTGAACGGGACGGGGTGTGAATACTTATAAGGTCTGAGATATATGGAGGAGAGAGGTTGTGGGTAGCTTTGAAGGAATGGAGGAGAATTTTGAAGATGGACCTGAATTTAACTGGGAGCCAGTGAAGCTGCTGGAGAACCGGGGTGATGTGGTGAAAGGAAGGGGTTCTGGTGATAATACGGGCTGCTGAGTTCTGGACCAGTTGCAGTTTATGAAGGAGTTTGTTGGGGAGACCATAAAGAAGTGATACCTGCTGAGAGCTGCAGAAGTCTCGGTTACAGGAATCGTTTGATTGAAGGGATCACCTCAAAAGGTTGTGCAACAAAATATTAAGTTAGTGGAACTATTATTTTTGTCCAGGCCTGTTCCATGACTTTATTCTTTCAAATAATTCTGTTATGGCCTGAATCTAGAGTCTTGGAACCCCCCAAGGTCCTCTACAACACAGTCATTCACCCACTCACACCCTGTTGAAGCACGGTTGACTTTCATTGGTTAAATGTCATTAAACACGTTTTGGGTTTTTCTTTAACACGTCTGTATGAGCTCACAGATGACATGTTCGACAATAACCGAATGTTTAAACTCCCGAGCAGAGTCGGTTCAGCAGAGGCTTTTAGAAAACGGCACGCTGCTGTTTGCAATTACAATTAATTTCTTTTCACGGCACAAAGGGGAGACTGTCGCCCAGCAAGAATTTAATCAGAGCCACAGTCGAGCACCGAGTCTCCTTTTTGTCTGGTGCAGAAACGACTTGGACACAGCAGCAGATGTGCAGCCTGACTATTCTGCTTCTTCATGCCTGTGTGCTTGAACCCAGGGAGGAACGACGTCCCATCTGCTGTGGTAGAAAACACGATCTACAGCGAAAGAACCACCAACTAGTGTGTTAACGTCGTAATGAAAACAGTAGCATGTTTGTGTCGGCTGGTAGAAGTTGGATGAAATCAAAAATAAAACACAAATTTAGAAGTAAAACTCATCAAATGCAAAAAATACAAATGGAAAACATAAAAAATGCAACTTTCTGAGTTATCTGTTGGTATGATAGCATCAGGTGAAGCATCAGGTTTAGAATAATTCATCATACTGGTCTGGTGATGGAGGATCGTATGTTTCCCACAACAAAGGCACCTGATTTTATTTATTTAGCATTTACCATTTAGCAGGAAAATTAGGCTAAAATTTCCCCAAACTGGATTTCAACATGAAAATTTTAAATAAAAATCTGCCAAAATCCAGTGGTAATAACTTTAAAACTTTTACAAATTAGAATAAATTCCCAGATACTAAAAAAATCAGGCATCAGATTTAAAAGATGGTGATTTTTTAAATGATAAACTCTTGAAATGCACTTTATTTTCTTGATCATGCAGATTTAAATGATTAAAATCAAATAAAGTTTGGTGCTGAGTTTGCATCATATCTTATTGATTAAATCTGCTGGATTGCATGGAAAGTTTCCATCCGGTACTTTACAAACACCTGTGTGACTCGAGCATCAGCAGGTTCTCAGACACGTGCAGGTGATGAAACTGGAGCTGCAGCCTGACTCACACCTCGTTCTGACAGAGTCTCAGGTATTGAGCAGACCTTCTTGTTGATTGTCCTTGCTGAGGACCAAGCAGGGAAGTCCATGCAGAGCGAACACCCTCCGTGAGTTAAAGCAGCATCCTGTGGAGGCGGCAGGTCACCCAGGAGACCAGAAGAAGGTAGCCCAGCAGGAGGGAGGAGATCAGTGTAGATCACGTTTCTGACTTTCTTTCTTCACGCTGACACTAAAAAAGCTGAATTTGTTCATAAATGTGCTCCAAAGTACAAGATTATTCTGAAAATGATGCATGAATCTTAATCTTATCTCATGAATCAGCTGATGCGTCCCAGCTGGTGTTCCTCTTGAAGACGACCTACTGGTGCCACCAAGTGGTCATTCTCAGGCTCTGGTGAACGTTCAGTGAGGAGAGCTGCAGACTTAATAGATGTTTGCCCTTTTTAACCAAAAGCAAAGTATCTTCCTTATCACAGATTTTATTATGGAGTGTTGTAATAAGTCTGGTATCTGCTCTGTCGCTATGATTAATGTAATTTTTATCAAACGATAAGTGAAGACCTTCAACACGAGAGTTTTATCTGCTGAGTTAAGAAGCGTGTGCTCTGTAGATTTTGGGAGTGTCAGTAATTATTAATTAGGGTAAATGTTACATTAATTTCTCTGTTTTTAACAAAAGTTTTGACACAAAGGAAGATTGTCGAATAAATAAAAGAGAGAATTCTCTCCAAAAGGTTGTCTGTGAACTTCTAACGTGTTTCTGACAACATTGTGTCTTGGTCATAGTTTCATTTCCTGCCCACTGCTGAAAACGATCAAATATCATCTTGAATTATTTGGTAAATTGATCAGATTCTGTAGATTTTTACATGCCAGTCTGATCAAATTTGTCTTATTGGAGGTAAAAATAAAAGAGGGTTCACTTCACGAGCCGTTCAATCTGCAACCTTTACATGTAAACGTAAAGGAAGTGCATCCTAATCCAACTAGTCCCGTTTTCCTGTCACGAGTGGCGATTAGAAACAAGAAATGTTGAGAATTTCTGCGTGAAATTTCCTTGTGCAAATATTTAAAATACACACCTGCTTTTCTGTCTGAGAGAAGGATTTGTCAGGTGATGGTTTAGGATAAAATCTGAAACTACAGATTAAAAAAACGATTTTTAATCTGCAACTTTCTAAATCCTTCTAACAGAAAGGCTTCTGCTTCCAGGCTAATGAAGTGATGGAGATCTGATTGCAGGTTCACTAAATAAAACATGATTTGAGAGGAAATGGAACTTAACAAAGAGTGATGGTTGTTGAGAAGCAGCTGGTAGATGATCACGACAGGTCAGTGCAGACCTGTGGTGGAGATCCAATCAATACAATCTTTAATAAACATAAAAACAGCAAGAGGGAGCATTAAAGCAGTTTTAATGAACATGTATTTAGTGAACAGCTCTTATCACCTGTGTGAGTCCAGAGTTTCCCCTCCGTATCTCACTGCTGCAATAAAAGGCTGACATGGTTCTGGATTGGAGATCTTGATTGTGCGATGTTGTTGTGAGTGTAAAACGTTGCCGTTAAAAGCCGTGGGATCAGCTGATAAAGCCAGAGTGTTCCTCTCTAGTGACGATGAGGACGCTCGTGTGGGTCGTGTGTTTGTTGTGTATGAGTGGGGTTCAGGGCGGTGCGGTGAAGGATGACGAGGACTTTATGCTTCTTGCAGGACCTCTGATGGAGCAGGAGGACGGAGGCTCTGCTTGCCATGGAAATGATGTCTTTGACTACAGCTCCCCCATGCCGCCTGGTTCTGAACAGTACTTTGAGTACCTCCAGAGCAAAGGCGTGACCCACTTCAAGGTGCCACTATCATGGGCTCAACTTCTCCCCACAAGGGTCCCCAGCAAGCCCCACCAGGCTGCGGTTAGCTGCTACCGGACTCTAATGAAGCGACTGCTGGAGGTGGGCCTCCAGCCTCTCGTCATCCTTCATGGATCTTCAGTTCCAGAATCTCTGAGGTCCAAATATGGAGGCTGGGAGAGCCAGAAGCTGGTGGAGGTGTTTCAGCAGTACGCTGAATTTGTTTTCAGGGAGTTTGCACCGTCAGCACAAGCCTGGGTGACATTTAGTGACCTGGATGAGGTTTTGGCTGATGGGCAGGACGGAGATACGAGCACGCTTCTGCAGAATATCCTCCAGCTCAATAAGAACATTCATCAGATTTACCGTCTGCACTTTCCTGGAAAAGGTGAGGAGCTCTGACTTAATCATCGTTCATAATCACAGATATTTATAAAATAACAGAATCACATAGTTGATTATTGTCTCTGAAGACTTCATGAGTAGAGAGATCTGCTTTATGACCTCCTGATAGCAAAACTTATATTTGCTGAAGCCACAGAACGCATTATCATCTTATCTCAGTAATCACTTTATGTGAGGTACAGCAAATGCACTTGAAGTATCTGTGTGTGTACTTTTAACCAGGAAGAAGATTTCTGGTGGGAAGTTTTGACTTCACGTTCAACAAAATCTTCTCAGACTGTTAAAAATATTCTGATGCCAAATTTTTGCAGGGAGACTGTCGTTTGGGTTGAAAGCAAAAAATGTGGAAAAACTGTTTGACTTTGAAGCTTCGACGCTTGTGAGTAGCATCTTTGTTACCAAGGAGCCTTAAATACAACAGAGGAGAAGAGGCGGTCATGAAAATGATTATGTTGATTTTTTTATGGGGAAAAAATATTTGTTTGGTTAAAATTGTTTACTTGTTGTTTGAACTGTTTGAAAAGCCACGGTTGATCATCAGAAAAATGGCTTCAGCTTTAAAGGTACTCCTTTAGACGTCATCTCCTGCTGTTGCTTCCAAATTCTACCTTATCTCTTAGGAAATACATTATTTCCAATGTAATAAAATAATTGCTGATTATCGTAACGTTAAAGCTTCATTACGTTTTAAAAAAGGAGTATTTGCTTTAGTAAGATGAGAACATCCACTAAAACACACTTGTCTTGAGTGACTCGGTTCTAATGTGTTATGCTAATAACAGTTTTTCTCTGGGGGCGTGAATTTGCTGTTTCACCTTTCTCTAACAGGTAGATTTCTTGTCAGTGAGCATTGAATATAACTGTGGTTCCTCAACAAACTTTCGACAGGAGTTGAAACGGTTACAGGTACACCGACCACAACAATGTTTTTCTTTAACGTGAGATATTTTTATATAACTTATGCAAACCTAATGTCCACGTAGATGTCCAGTGGGAACTTGCCCATCCTCATATACAAGATGAACGTTCACGACTGCACCGACAACCAAGAACAGCCTCTGGGAGATTTACTGCAAAGTAAGTGCTATGACAAGTTTTTCCTCTAAAGATAATATATGACTCAAATGATAAATAATCTTTGAAGTATCACTGTTTTTGCTATGCAAATACCATAAAGAGTTATGAGCTTTGGGGAGTGTCATTATGCAAGAGTAATTAGTGGGATTCTCGCTATGGGTCGGCCATCTTTGCAAGTAAAACCATGTGAAAGGTGGAGAAGAGCTCCTGGTAGATTTTTATTGAGGCTAATCTCTGATATAAAATAGGAAAACTTTAAAGTAATAAGTGTATTATTCTAGAAAAAACTCAACGAGAGGGAGATTGTGGTAAATGTCCATTTGTGTCGACCACAGTTACTCAAAGCAGAGCCTTGAACATCACTGGATGTGACATGAAGAACTTGCTGGGTCATTTGGACATGCACGATGCTCCACTCAGGTTAGAATCATTACATGTTTTCTTATTTTCTTGGAAATGGTTTTTCTTACCCTTTTTTTTTCTTTCCCAAAAGACTTGATCCACATTTGACCAAAATGACGAGGTTTAGGAGTAGCTATGAGAACATCTGGGAGAGGTTTGGGGCCCAGGTCAGAGCTGACCGAAACCTTTTCCTCAATGACTCATTCCCCTCCGGCTTTCAGTGGGCCACGTCTTCAGAATCTTTCAAGGTTGAGGGTGGATGGACAGAAGGTGGGAAGGGAGAAACTATCTGGGATCGTTTTGGTCATAAAGGCCAAGCCTTTGCAAATCAAACCGCAGACCTTGCTTGTGACAGTTATAACAAGATTGATTACGATGTCTATCTGCTGCGAGGTCTCCAAGTCAACACCTATCAGTTTTCCATTTCCTGGGCCCGTATTTTCCCCTCAGGCTACAGTGACAGCCTGTCAAGAAAGGGAATTTTCTACTATGAGAAGCTAATCGATGCTCTGGTTGATTCTGGCATTCAACCGGTTGCCACCCTCTACCACTGGGATCTGCCTCAGGCTCTCCAGGACAACGGTGGATGGACCAATTCATCCATTGTTGAAGCCTTCAAGAAATATGCAGATTTCTGTTTTGGCAGATTTGGAAATAAGGTCAAGACTTGGAACACATTTAGTAGCCCATGGGTGGTGAGCCATGCTGGGTATGGTACTGGTGAGCATCCACCTGGAGTAAAGGACCATGCGGCGTCTTCTTACCAAGTAAAGTTCTGCAATTACTATTACAATGAATATTTATGCAACTTTTTATTTGTTTTCTGGTTTGTTTATCTCATAATATGTTTTTATCTTCTCAGGCAACCCATAATATACTCAAATCCCATGCTGAAGCCTGGCACATCTACAACGACAACTACAGGGGGACTTACGGAGGGAAAGTAGGTATTGCCCTGAACTCTGACTGGGCTCAGCCCAAAGACCCCTCCAAACCTGAAGATGTTGCAGCTGCCGATCGCTATCTTCAGTTTATGCTAGGCTGGTTCGCACATCCAATTTTTGTAGATGGAGATTATCCGGCAGAACTCAAACGTCAGATTGAGCTGAAGAAAAAAGACTGTCCTGTCCCCACGCCAGCAGAACTTCCAACTTTTACTCCTGAAGAGAGAAAGAGGATTCTTGGAACATCTGACTTTTTTGGTTTGAATCATTATACTTCCCGTTTGGTCAGCAACAATAAAGGTGGCTGCAAGCCCGGTCCTGATAGAGTGGGAGACTTTCAGGCGCATGTGGACCCCTCGTGGTCTTCGACAGCCTCTGACTGGATCTTCTCTGCACCTCAGGGACTTCGATTACTTCTAAACTACATTTCAGCAGAATACTTGAATAATACCAAAGTACCGATCTATATAACTGGGAATGGGATGCCAACAGAGTATAGTGCAGACACATTGAATGACACTAGCAGAGTCCAGTACCTGCACGGTTATATCAATGAAGCTCTTAAAGGTTGGTGTCTAGAATTTCTCTGATGTGACAATTTTTAGATTAAGTGAAATAAATGTTTTATTTTTTTATAGCAATTGTCCATGATGGTGTGGATGTGCAGCGATTCACTGTGCAGTCTTTCATGGATGGATTTGAAGGACGGCATGGCTACAGCCAAAGATTTGGTCTTCACTACGTTAATTTCGAAGATGCAAGCAGACCAAGAACCCCAAAGCAATCTGCCTATTTCTTCTCTCAGATAGTAGAGCAAAACGGTTTTGTTGCACACATAAATGAGGTCGTCAAAGGTTTAAAAACAATGCGTGACCACAAGTCCACAATGCTATCACCATCAGAGGTTCCTTCAACGTCAAAAGTCGTCTGGGAGAAGTTCTCCCTACAGTCAAAATTCCAGAGGCAAATGTATCACCATGGTGTGTTCCCTAAAGACTTTTCTTGGGGTGTGTCTTCTTCAGCTTATCAGATTGAAGGTGGCTGGGATGCTGATGGGAAGGGACCTAGTGTATGGGACACCTTCACTCAGAAGCCTGGCAGCATTCCAGATAACGCTAATGCAAATGTAGCATGTGACAGTTACAATAGACTTGACGAAGACCTCTACATGCTGAGAGGCCTGAAGGTGAAGTCATACAGATTCTCTTTGTCATGGTCCAGGATTTTTCCTGATGGGAGACGTACTTCCCTGAACCAGAAGGGCGTTGACTATTACAATAAACTTATTGATGGACTCTTGGCATTTAATATCACACCAATGGTCACACTGCATCACTGGGATCTTCCTCAAGCTTTGCAAAACTTTGGTGGCTGGGAGAAAACAGAGATGATTGACATTTTCAATGATTTCTGTGACTTCTGTTTTGCCACCTTTGGCAACAGAGTAAAATTCTGGATGACCTTCAACCAGCCTCAAAAAATCGCATGGCTAGGATATGGACTTGGACAGATTCCACCAAATATTAAGAATCCAGGAATTGCACCATACAAAGTTGCACACAAAATAATAAAAGCTCATGCCAAGGCGTACCATACATATGATGACAAGTATCGTAAATCCCAAGGGGGACTGATATCTATTGCCCTCAATGCTGACTGGATTGAGCCTAAAGACGTCAACGTTCCTCGCGAAGTCGTAGCTGCTGACCGGGCCCTGCAGTTTCAACTAGGCTGGTTTGCCCACCCTATTTTCAAGAACGGCGACTATCCAGAGGCAATGAAATTACAAGTTGGTGTCAAAAGTGATCTCCAAGGACTTTCCGAGTCAAGACTCCCTTCTTTCACAGAAGAGGAAAAGAAATTTGTCAGAGGAACTGCTGACATGTTCTGTATGAATCACGTCACCACAAAGATAGCAAGCCACGTCACAGGTCGGCTTTCTCCAGCATCCTACCAATATGACTCGGACTTTTCAGAAGCAGAGGAAAGTGATTCACCAGCGACAGCGATCCAAAACCAAAGAGCTGTTGCATGGGGCTTGAGGAGAATCCTCAACTGGATCAAGGAAGAGTATGGAGATCCGGAGATTTACATTACTGACAACGAAGTTGCTACCGGAGCCAAAACGACTTGGGATGACATTGACAGAGTCTTTTTTCTCAAGACCTATATTGATGAAGCTCTTAAAGGTACACAGATTCAAATATGCTTTTGGAGCTACATTTTATTTGTTTTTATTCCTGAATATTAATTTGTGCTTGTGTGTTTATCATGATAGCCTATGAACTTGATGGCGTAAGGGTGAAAGGCTACATGACATCTCTGATGGACTCTTTTGAATGGTTAAATGGGTACAAAGTCGGGTTTGGGTTGCACCATGTGGATTTCGCTAACCCAAACCGGCCAAGGACACCCAAGTATTCAGCTCATTTCTACCATCAAGTCATGAAGGACAACGGTTTCCCTATAACGGAGGATGAGAGGATGATTCATGGACGATTCCGAAGAGGTTTCATGTGGAGTTGTGCTACAGCATCGTACCAGGTAAATTAAGTTGAGAGACTCTTTTATTAAACCTTTTCATTAAAGGTTTTGAAGGACACCGTTTTGATATTCCTATATTTACTATTTCCAGATTGAAGGGGGGTGGAGAGCAGACGGAAAAGGTCTTAGTATTTGGGATAAGTTTGCTCACACTCCTCTCAAAGTGTTCAACGATGACAACGGGGATGTAGCTTGTGACAGTTACAATAAAATAGACGAGGATGTGGCCATAATTAAACAGCTTAAGCTGACCCATTATCGTTTCTCCATTTCCTGGTCCCGAGTGCTTCCTGATGGCACTACCAATCACATTAATGAGGCCGGTCTCGGCTACTATGACAGACTAGTGAAGGCGCTGTTGGCTGCAAACGTAAAGCCTCACGTAAGTCGGCTTCCTCTGAGCCACTCACAACATGCTTTAGGAAGAAAATTGTTGAATTTTGGAAAAACTTGTTTTTTGGGGTTTTCTTAACTGGCAGATCACCTTGTTCCACTGGGACCTCCCGCAAGCTCTACAGGACATTGGAGGCTGGGAAAATGACACCATTATAGACAAATTCAGGGATTATGCTGACCTCATCTTTAGTCGTCTTGGCAACAATGTAAAACACTGGATCACCATTAATGAGCCGTACAACATAGCGATGGTAGGGCATGGTTATGGAGTGGCTGCCCCAGGTGTGTAATGAGCTTTGTGTCCTTTAGTAGCTCTGGTATAAGATCACTTATAATAATGGATAGACTGATAATTGAAATAAAAAAAATATTGATGAAGCAGAATTTGGTAGCAATAAGTAATACAGCCCAGTACATACAGGATTCTGACAGGGCTATGTTTCTGTATGTACCAAGCCGCATTTTGCAATGTTGTCGATAACGTTTATTTGTTTATATGTCATCTTGGAAAAAACCTGTTTTCTCTCAGGCATCAGTTTTCGCCCAGGCACCCTTCCTTACATCGTTGGTCACAATCTTATTAAAGCTCACGCTGAGGTTTGGCACCTTTACAATGACAAATATCGGGCCGTCCAAAAGGGAATTATTTCAATCACAATCAACTCGGACTGGTCAGAGCCCAGGAACCCTCACAAGCAAGAGGACATTGATGCTGCAAGACGTGTGGTCCAGGTACGTTTTTTTGTAGCTTTCGAAAAAAATCCTTTCTGCTTTAATAAGAAGCGGCTGTGATGTTCTTCATTTTCTGCAGTTTTACATTGGCTGGTTTGCCCATCCCATATACAACGGTGACTACAATGACGTGATGAAGACGGTCATTCGAGAGCGAAGTCTTGCTGCTGGTTTATCAAAATCACGGTAATGGTGAAAAGGCCCGAAACACCAAACAGATCACCAGCGCTGACCTGTGTGTTGCATGTCTCTGCTGTGTTATAAGTTCAGAGCATCTGTGCTTTTCTATTTTTGTGCATTCTGACTGAAACTCAAACAAATAAATGATAAAAGTTAGTCTTCATTTTCTTTGCACGTTACGCTTCTGGTTACCTGTCTAGGCTTCCCGAGTTCACTCCAGAGGAAATTAAGCGAATCAAAGGCACCTATGACTATTTTGGGTTTAACCATTATACCACCGTCCTGGCTTTTCCTGTGGACTTTGGAAATCTTCAGCATTATGATGCTGACAGGTGAGCAAGCACCATTTCAGCCTTATTTTCTTTATTTTAATTTAGACTGGTATGATGTATCCTCATAGTTTGACAAATGGCTAAATTTTAAATTCCATTTACACCTGACACAGGGGTGCGGGGACAGTCGTGGACCGTACCTGGCTCGATTCAGGCTCTGCATGGCTAAAGGTCACGCCATTTGGATTCCGCAGAATCCTGAACTTCATTAAGGAGGAATATGGACATCCTCCGATCATCATCACTGAGAACGGCATCTCAGAGAGAGGACCTACGGACTTGAATGACACCCTGAGGACGTATTACTATGAAAAATACATCAACCAAGCGCTTAAAGGTATACGATCCTTAAAACAAATATGTGCAACAGTGATGAAGTATTTGCAGTTTTAAGAGTTAATTTATTCTTGCAGCTTACCTAATAGATGATGTGGACATCCGTGGCTACACCGCCTGGACACTGATGGATAACCTGGAGTGGGCCACTGGCTTCTCAGAGAGATTTGGTCTTTTCTACGTCAATCGTTCAGACTCCAAACTACCTCGTGTTGCCAAGGCCTCTGTATCCGCCTTCTCTACCATTATAGGCTGTAACGGATTCCCTGATCCAGCAGCAGGACCTGATGACTGCTTAAAGCCCAGGCCTGAAGGTAGACGATTCTATTTAAGAGCAGGTTCACCAAGAAACTATTTTTACTTCTAATTTTTGAAAATTGGTCACTCTGGGTTTCACGTGCAGGCTGAACATGAAAATAGTCTCCTACACCGATCTCCTGCAGTAGCTTCTGATAGAAAACAGACGGTGAAACTCTAGGATTAGAAAAGCCTGGCAGATCTACGTCACACTGTCACCATCATTCATGGATTCACCCTTCTGGACTTACGACGAGGAAGGCTGTTGTTGGTTTAGCGTCCAGGAAACGGCAGAGAACGTCTCGGCTAATAGAAGCTAACTGTTAGCAATAGCAACTCCACCACACAGCAGAACTCCTCCAGGCTTGTGTTAATATGTCCTTTAAACCTCAAAGATTTAATCCATTGAAAATCTTTTTGTCCTTTGCAGGAACAATTGCGCCGATCACAGAATCTCCTGTGATGTTTCTGGGGATGAGGCTCTCCACTGAAGGAGCTGAAACTGGACTTAATGCTACATTTGCTCTCCTAATTATCGCAGTGATTGCAGCAATTTGTTTATCTGTTGGTTTTTGTTTAATAAAAAAACGTTGAATAGAGATTAAAACTGACACGATTCTAGTCGTACTCCGGTTTGAAACAGATGGAAACCGTTGTTTGTACACTTGTTTCTGAATAAAAATAATCAGATGTTTTAATGAGTCAAAATTGCTTTTCTATGATAAATCTACCTACAGGTAATAATAAAGTAATTTTGACTATTAACATGCGGCTGTAACATCTTAATAAAGCTATGAAATGCATTAAAACACTCAAACTTGTTTTTTCCGTGTTTGTTGGACCAAAATAATTTTTTAAAATAGCCATCAATGCATCCATCCACTATCATCTACTTATACGGGGTCGGGAAGCAGAGAGGCCCAGACTTCCGTCTCCCCAGCCACTCCGCGGGAATCCCAATGTGTTCCCTAGCCACCTGAGAGACGAAGGCCCAATCCCTACACTCGCTCTGCAGCCTTCAGCAAAGTGTACTTGGAGAAAGTGCACTGTAAGGCTTCGAGTGTGCGTGGTACACAAGCGTGTAAATAATTGCCAAATTGAGAGAGAGAGCATTGCGTCATCGACTGCAACACAAGCCGGGATGCTGGCCACTGTGATACTTTTCCAAAAACTTTTAACAACTTTCAAACAACCAGCTATTTGAAATTAATTTAAACTAATTGCTGCTTTGTCTAAAACATTCATAGCATCAACTAATAGTCCTAAAACAGACAAATTTCATTAGAAAATACATATTTTCAGAAAAGGAACTTGAGCCTTTTCTCCCGCAGCAATGACTTGTTGGGTAATTGTCACGTTCTGCCCCTGCCCTCCTTACTGTGCTTCTCTCCTACCCTGATTAGTCCGTATTGTTCTCACCTGTCCCTCGTTAACCTGCCCATGTTTCCCTAATTAGCCTTCTGTATTTATACAGAAGGCTAATTAGGGAAACAATGATACAGATCATTGTTGTTAGTAGTCATCGTTGTTTTGTCCTGTTCATCCCATCCTGCCATTAAAACCATTTTTACTTTATCCGAAGCCTGCGTTTTTACCTCCTGCTCAGCTCATCCACACATGGTCCGCCGTCTCCACCTCGCTCAACGTGACAGAATGATCTGACCACAAACCTGGACCTGTGGTGAGCTAACACCTGTTTGCTGGAGGATTTATTTTTTACTTTTTTCTCCTTTAGCGGAAGGAAATTCTGGCCCAGGGTGTTGGCGCATCCTACCTGTTCTCCGGGGTGGACAAGCCTTTGGGTGGGTTTCGGCGCATCCAGTTCGTTTCCTGTGGTGGTCAAACCCTTCTCCTCCCCTGCTTTCTGCCCCCGTCCCGTTTTTGGTCATGGAAGCCGCGGATCCTGGAGCTCTAAGGGAGTTACACCCCCTACGCACGCCATCGTTCTCCAGGGTGGTAGGGCTGGTCTCCCCGCTCTTCTCCTGCTTCCCTGCACCCAAGCCTCTGCCTGAGATCCAGCTAATCGTGCTGTGCACCTGCTCGGACCGGCTGTCGAGTGCCTGCCGCCGATCCTGGTTTCCTCACGTTGCTTCTACAGATTGTCCACTTCCTGGTCCACGCTGTGGGGCTTATGCCTGTAGGTCTCATGCTGCTGCAGCCTCTGCTGGGTCCCACGCCTCCTCCTGCAGCCTCTGCTGGGTCCCACGCCTGCTCCTGCGGATCTCTGCCTGGGACCCACGCCTGCTCCTGCAGTTCTCTGCCTGGGTCCCACGCCTGCTCCTGCAGTCTTCCCGTTCCTGTCAAGTCAAGTCTCCACGTTCCAGTCCAAGTCCTGTCCCCAGTCTAGTCGAGTGTTCCCGGTCTCTTGTATAGCCTTGTGGGCGTCTGGTATCCGCCCTTAGGGGGGGCACTGTCACGTTCTGCCCCTGCTCTCCTAACTGTGTTTCTCTCCTGTCCTGATTAGTCCGTATTGTTCTCACCTGTCCCTCGCTAACCTGCCCATGTTTCCCTAATTAGCCTTCTGTATTTATACAGAAGGCTAATTAGGGAAACAATGATACAGATCATTGTTGTTAGTAGTCATCGTTGTTTTGTCCTGTTCATCCCATCCTGCCATTAAAACCATTTTTACTTTATCCGAAGCCTGCATTTTTACCTCCTGCTCAGCTCATCCACACATGGTCCGCCGTCTCCACCTCGCTCAACGTGACGGTAATACCCTTCACCCAAGTCTGCATCGGTGAGGACTTGGGTGAAGGGCTGATCAAGGGTGCAAAAGGGGCGTGATCAACTTCCGCATGAGAATCGGGACACCCTACGCATTCCTGGTCGGTATCGCGCAAGTATTGGGATGGGCCATAGTCCCTCCAGCGTGTCCTGGGTGTTCCTGAAAGGTCTTTTTCTGGTTGGACGTGCTGGAAAAACTTCGCCAGGGAGGCATCCTAACCAGATGGCTGAGTCACCTCAACTGTGGCCAACTCTCGATGTGTTGGAGCAGCAGATCTACTCCAAGCCCCTCCCGGATTACCAAGCTTCTCACCCCATCTCCAAGAGCCCAGACACCCTGTGGAGAAAACTAATTTTGGCCGCTTGTATCCGTGATCTCGTTTGTTCGGTCACTACCCAAAGCACGTGACCATAGGCGAGAGGAACGTAGACCGAGCGGTAAATCGAGGGATTGGTCTTCTGACTCAGCTCTCTCTTCACCACGACAGACCGGTACAACGCCCGCATCACTGCAGACGCCGAACCAATCCGCCTGTCGATCTTACGCTCCATCTTTCCGACCCAGAGATACTTCAACTCCTCCACTTGGGGCAGGACCTCATCCCTCACCAGGAGAAGGCATTCTCCACTTTTCCGACTCAAGACCATGGTCTCGGATAAGCTAAAAAATAGTCTAATGAAAATAGAATTTTACACATTTATCTTGATTTTGAGTTAATTTAGAGAGTTTCACTTAAGTGCATCAACGCTTTCCTCAACATTCAAAAACTAAATGCTTATAAAACCAGAAAACAGACCAAGGGAAACCACTTCAAAAGCTTGTAAAAAATTTTATTTAAAAAACTAACCACAAAGTACTAATCAATACAAAAAGTATATAAAAAAGTACAAACACATTGGTCAAAAATATTTGAGATGACAATATTTGAGTTGGTACAAATGGCACTGTGGGTATCGGACTACAAAAGATGGCATCTTAGAGTGCACTCAAGGCAACAATTTCACATTGGAGCAACTTGGTTTGCAACAGTTCTGGAATAAGAAACTCCAGAAATCAGCACTTGGTGTGCTGTAAACGTAAACATTTCATACAACAAGTACCTCAGAAAACAGGCAACAGGTTGGCATTAAATGGAACGAAAAACCTTTGAACTGTACCAAATCCCGTGTCCACTCACAGGATCCAGTCTCAGGAAATGGACAGTAGTGAAAATCATTCTTTCAAAATAAAAGAACATATCTGCAACAGCGACAAAAGCATAACAATAAGATACAAAAGGAAAGAACAGTATTGGACACTTCAAACAACATAGAGAGTTACGTGTTTTTTCTTCAAGCATTACCCAGGTTTGTTTGTTCCTTTGGACAAAGGCACCTCAAGTGTTCCAGTTACCATCAAGAGCCTGTACTGCGAAGTAGGTTCCACGTGCCCTGATCATCAGATGATTCTCAGGTTTAACAAACCCCGACCGCAGCACCAAAACAATGGTTACGAGCTGTGGATATGTGCGTGTGAAGAGGAGCAGTGTAAGCGCCACATGACCAATCCCAAATAAAATCTGCACCTGCATATTTCTCACATGCACAAACGATACTAAATCATAAAAGTATTAAAGGAAAGAGCTAAAACAACTGTAGCAGCCAAAGCCAATGAGGAGAAACGAGCTTATCAGAACCAGGCAGGAAACCATTTGTGCAGCAGCTGAGTAAAGTTCAAGCTCTTGGAAAATCAAGGAATGATGTTCAGGAATGTGGGATGCTGGTGCTGAAGTTTCAAAGGTAGAAAACTGCAGTTCAAAAATGATGTTTAATGTTTCAGGTGTGGATGCACACAAGAGTGGAACTCTGAAACAAGGCAGGACAAAAGCCCTAAAAACAGCTCCGCGAGCCACAAACCCTGCTTCGGAGTACAGGTCCAAGAACTGGGAATGTCAACGGGACAAAAAGGACCAAAAGGGGAAAGAGACAACTGAACTGAAAGGTCCTTGCGTGATGAATAACTTAAGTCTTCATAAGGAAGACAAGAACCCGTTCATTAACGTTTGTTTGCTCGTCATTTATTCACTAAATACAAAAGATTTAATAACTTGGCCTTACCTCACCCAAAGTACATGAGGAGGGAGGGGCTTCCAGTTTAAGTCGAAGGCAAACTTGAGATTCACACAAAAACGTCCAACTAAAGAGCCAGACGTGGAACTAAAAGTCTCATAATAAAATATCAATACTTATAAAAATATAGCTGCCCTGAGGGTGAAGCGCAGGAGAACTGGAGCGTTCTAGTTCCACGCAGGCAGACGGAAGCACTTTGGGTCTTCAGGCAGGCGCTCGTCTTCAGTCTCGCTGTAATGAAAAAGACTCGATGCTCGGCCAGAGAGGGCCCAACACTGGAAGGCTCAGGCTTTCTTCATCCACCTCAAGCAGACGCCACAGCCTCTCTCTCTCTCTCTCTCACACACACACACACACACACACACACACTCCCTGCTTATTTCCCTTTTGTCCTCGCCGATCCTCCTCTGAACGATCGGAGACAGAACCTACGCACGAAGACCTGTGAGGAGATTTCAACATGTCAAACAAGTGTTCGCTAAAAATGGCAGGAATTTTAGTCCAAGATGAGGCGATGTGGCAACTACAAACGAAAATGGAAATACCTTTGTCACAAGTACTACTTTGCTTCTCCTGGGCAAAGTTGAGTCTGTTCTGCTCCACCGCGGTGCCGTTGGACTCCGGGCTGCTGCTTCGTGGCGGACTGTTTTCCTCATTCTGGTATGCCAAATCCAGATGCTGCTGGGCCAGCTTTAGGTGTCTGCGAAGCCTCTCCAGCTCCCGAGACGACGCCTCATCTCCAAAGGACTCGCGCCCCGAGTCTCCCAGGTTATCCCTGAAGCCCATTTTCCCTGAGGGATCTTTCTTCAGAGCCGTGTTGTAACCCGGAGGCGCCGAGGGCTGGCGGGAGATGGAAGACCGCTGACTGGCCAGTGCCGAGTTGCGAGATGGATGAGAACGAGATGGATGGGATCGAGATCGGGGCGTGCAGAAGCAGTCGCGGATTCCACTGAAGCCAAGGTGAATGATTTCCAGCATGGTGAAGAGCAGACACAAGGCGCTGACGGCGTACATGATGAGCAGGAAGATCGTCTTCTCGGTGGGTCGAGAGACAAAGCAATCCACCGTGTGAGGACAAGGAGAACGAGTGCAGATGTACGATGGTGCCACTTCCAGCCCGTAAAGGATGTACTGTCCAAACAGGAAGGATGCCTCAAAGATGGCGCGCGATAGGAGCTGAAAGACATAGACCTTCATCAGACCATCCCTCTTGATGCGCCGCCGCCCATCGTGCTTCTTTTTGGGCTTTTCCGGAGCAGCTTCCTTCTCCTTCTCTGGCTCAATCTCCTCCTGGATCATGGGATCTTCCTCCCCGTTATCCTCGGCTTCTTCATAGTCCCTGTTGGCACCACGGCTCACTATGGGCATCCGCTTCTTGCCCCGGGAACCGTACTCGTCGTCATCCATGCGGGCAATCTTATGCATGGCAAACCCGAGGTACATGATGGTGGGCGTGGTGATCATGATCACCTGAAACACCCAGAAGCGGATGTGCGAAAGTGGTGCAAAGGCATCGTAGCACACATTCTCACAACCGGGCTGATGCGTGTTGCACACAAATTTACTCTGTTCATCGTAGTAGATGGACTCGCCGCCGACTGCCGTCAGCACGATGCGGAAGACGATGAGGAGGGTGAGCCAGATTTTGCCCACGAAGGTGGAGTGATTGGAAATCTCGTCCAGCAGACGAGTGAGGAAGCTCCAGCTCATTATGTCTGTGAAACAGGGACGTTCTCAATCCTGCACGAAGGAAAAGAGAAAGAAATTTAGACGTTATTCCCAGAGTTGCTGAAAACTTTACATTTCCAGTAATGTTTATGTTTTTCTTTTGTTTACTCGTTTCTTACAGACACTCCTTTAGGACACTGTCCTATTCTGGGCCCGACACTTTCCCTTTACCCTCCATTTGTCTAAATGTAACCACTGAAACACCACGATGCTTGGCCGACGCATGCGTGGGTTCTGCAACATTCTGGAGATTGTAAATCTGCTGATTGGCCACCAGATGGCGCCACACCGCTGCAGAGACCTTGCACAATTTGTTTTCTGCCCAGACAAAGATCCTGAAGAAGGCTGACCATCTACAAGACTGCACTGGACTTTTAGGCCGTTGAAAGTTCTTGATCGTCCAGAAAATACTCTGCAGGTTCCGTATAATTACAGGGACGGCACAGGATCAACTTCAGGTGATACAATTCTTTCAATACTGACGCGAACCTGGACTGAGTCTGGATCTGACGGAACGCTCTCATAAACCCAAATTCACATTCTGTTAACAGCCATGAAAGCGCTGTGGTGGTTTCACACCATCCCTAACTAACCTCATGAGCAACTTCTGCAGAATCATGATGCACCAATTAAAGCACACCACTGTTTCATCGGGAACAAGCAGCAACAAATAAACGTTCATCTCAATGCTGGATGCATTCATGCTACTCAGTCTGTATTAGTGATGCACCGATATGAAATTTATGGGCCGATACCGATATCCGATATTAAGATCACTGTTATGGCCGATATCAGAAAACTTCGTATATAATGAAAATGATTAAAGCCGAATTTACGTTATTATGTACACACACATTTATGGTTCTGAGATGATTTCACTCACTGTTCATGTGACTAAACAATTACACATCACCCCCAGCCTCTGAAACAGACTAAAAAATGGAGATGAGATGGAAAATATATCGGCTGTTACTATCAGCCCGGTTTTATTTATCGAACCGATACCGATATGTTTAAAAAATGACTAAAGTCGACTGATACCGATATATTATCCATCTCTAGTCTTTATTGTTAATTCCTCACATTGCATTGCATGTTAAAGTTTATTGTGTCGATAATAGGGTTGTCACGGAGAGAAAATTTAACCTCACGGTTATTGTGACCAACATTATCACGGTTTTCGGTATTATCGCGGTATTTTTTTTAAACGTGCTACATTTTCACATAATTAAATAAACCCTGTATGTCAGGAAATGTTGTCCTCAGTTTGTGTCTAAATTTAGCCTAAAATGTGTTATTTTGTAATTATGTTGTTTATTTGTTTACATTTTTCCCCTTTAGTCTTTAAAATACCAATATTTGCCCATAACTTCTTATTTTATGTCTGTTTGATGTCATCATTTAAAAATATTAGATCAGATGATACTCAGTACTCAAGTAGCCTTCTAATCAGATACTTTTTACCCTTACTTGAGTAATAAACCCTATATCAGGAAAATATCGTCCTCGGTTTGTTTCCTTCCAGTGAGCTTTGCAGATGTGGGAAAATGTCATCAGGCAGTAATCGTTGTTAAATTCATAATTATTCTCGGAGAGAGACCAACTCTTACCTGCCCCTGGGAGCCCCGTAATGCATAGCGTCATTTCAACATGGCGGTGTCCGCGACACGGTTTATATGCAGGTAGCGGCGCTGCGGCTGCTTTATATAGCGACTCGTTGCATTCTCCCTCACCCCAAATCCTCGGATCACGCATTTTAGCTAAAACGCTAACGTTAGCTTGCCTTGCGTTGACTGCAGAGTTGTGGGTGATGGTCACGCAGATGTGTCATGAGATTTGAAGCGTTGCTGCCTTTCACAGACACTTTTTCTGCACGTGCTGCAAACAGGATAGCCGTCTTCTATCAACTGTCCCTCTAGCCTAGTGAACTAGACCAAATTCTTGCTTTGCAAAGTTTGGTCTAGGCATGCTCCATTGGAACCTCCGCAGCTCCTACCAGGACTCTGGCTAGCCAATCACAGCTCTCTAGAGGGGTTTCAAACACATAAAGAGCTGTGATTGGTCCATAATGGTGGGCCAGTCATAGTGCTCTATCTGCTTAGTGAACAAATCACAGAGCTTTATCCGCTTTGTGGGCCAATCAGGGCACTCTATATGCCTGGTGGGTGGGATGATGCAACAGAGTGAAACAAGAATATGTCACATTCATTGTCCAGTGGAATGCGGAGATCATTTGAAAGACAACGGTAGAACCCGCCCCACAACCGAGAGCGTGGCCAGACTAAATAATACATTTATTTAGTCTGGCTCGCCAGGCTACTGTCCCTCGGCATTCTTCAGATATCTTAAAGATGCCCGTACTTCCGACTTTGTCTTCTTTGAGGGATAAAAAATGTCCTCCTGAGCGCTGCCGTCTCCTCCTTTGGCCATTATTTCAGTTTTAGCTTCAAGAAAGTTTTGGTTGTAAACAACAAAGCACGCATGTGCCGCCATAGGGCTGTAGCGAAGCCTCGACGACGTCGACGGCTCGATTCTAAAAATTTGCGACGTCAGATCCGGTGGTCGACGCACCGCGCCCACTTGTTGCATCCCCAGGAGTTTGTAAATAGAGGAGGAATCTGCCTGTTTTTCCTCTAGTTCGCCCTCTTCTCCACCTTCACTAACATCTCTGCCAAATACCGAAGACCCGGAACAACGTCCGTCCACTACTAGATTATTTTCCTGTTTTGCCCGCCCTCGTCTCCGAGCAACGGACAACAACTTCCGGGGTCAGATGCGCTGCTCCGTCTCTATCGCAGATGTAGAAAATCACCGGGAGCGCTTCTCCCTTCATTAAGGAGCTTCTTTCAGACACGAGGAGAGCTGTTTTGGTGGTAGCAGTCTCTCCTCCGTGCTGGTCTGTTTGCTGCTGGGTGTTTTTGGTTTATTTAAACTTGGTAACTTGAACTGAACGTTGGTAAAGCTACTGTTAGCATCTTCGCTAACAGCTTCTTGCGTTTGGATAAGCAGTTATGTTTTGGTTTAGAGTTCATCTTTTTAGTGGTGTAGATCTCCCTTTTATTACATTTAGAGTGTTGTGGGTTTTCGGTTTAGTTTAAAATATCACCTTGAGTTTGGTTTAACCGCCCAGTTTAGAGTTTGGACCTTTGGAGATCCTTGTTTTGGTCCAGAACCCAGTAATCTTTGCCCAGTGGGACATCCCTACTTATTTGTACTTTGTTTTAATTCCCCACAGGCAGGATTAGTTTTATTATTCCCAACCTGTGGATGGAAAGATTTAGGTTTTTTTTTTGTAAATAAACCCGATCATCATTTTAACTTTTAAATCCCGTTATTGTCCCTTCCTTTTTGCACACGAGCCAAACTCCCCAGGAAGGGTCGTAACACCACTCGCCTCACGCACATAAGTGACCAAATCAAAGCAGCATGGAGACACTCCGTCTCCAACCACCTCTCAGGCAGCAGCCTGCACTCCCAAGTTCTACACGTCACCAGAACATAACCAACCAACACAATAAAAGCAGTGTTATACAAAATGGAAGGCCTGCAGTGTTTATTCTCTTACAGTAACAACTTATCAATTTTTTGAGGAATTTATTAGAGATTTTTTGGTTTTTATTAACTGCAATAGAAAAATAATCATTAGATTAAATGTCTAAATAGTCATTAGAATAGTCGACTATTCGATAAAATAATCGTCAGAATAATCGTTTTAAAAAGAATCGTTTAGCCCCAGCCCTATGCCGCCGGCAACTTCAGCAGACGATACGGTGGCTGGTAAGGGTCACCGCGCCTACACCGCAGCCACGCTAATCCACCGAGATAATATATGTTTTTTAAAAACAAGACGGTTATTGTCCACTTTTTTTACCGGGGTTTACCGCTACACCGGTTACCGTGACAACCCTAGTCGATAAGGAACTTCTTCCTCCTGTTTAGCGTGAATGCATCATTTTGTTTCATTGCATTTCCCGTCTGTCTTGCACAAGGCTCAGTAGTGACCCTACACAACGGAAACCCAACAATGAACAGCTACAAAAGGATGAACTAAAGTTCACGTTGTGCTTTACTTCCACGCATTTATGATTAAAACTGCTTAAAACTTTCCAGCTTATTGGTCACCTTACCAAGAAATGTGGCGAATCAAGTCACACCTCCTTGCAACCGATCACAATTATCAAACACTTCTAGCCACTTCCTCAAAGAAAACACGGCTGCAGCTATTGCTCCTCGTGTGGCTCTTTCTGCATCACTACCTGAACCCATCTACCACCACACTGGTGCAACATCTCCAAAAGACAGACTAAGAAAAAGCTACAAAAGGTTTTCTGTTAGAATAAGTGAAAGAGTCGGTTACACATCCTATTGTTATAAATCTATTAGTCACGGTGCTTTCCTTGGAATCTGTTGGCGAATCATCAAATAAAAAGCACGTTCAACTATCGGTAGCCTCGACCCAGATGCACACCCATGACTCAGGAAAACATTTTAACGTCCACGTGTGTAGAACAAGGCAGAAAACATCAACGAACATCAGATTTCGTAACAGCTGCGGCTTTTAATTTAAATACGACTCAAGAGTAAAAATCTGCAACGAAGCATTTGTTCTGTTCTCCTGACTTCTCAGTTCAATGCATCACAAATAACTGGCCCTCGGCTTTAATAGCCCATAGAAGACCGGGGGAGAGCAGAAAAGTGTGGAAACATCTGCTCTGCTCTTGTGTAAGAAGGCACAAGGCACTTCCAGATGCTGGACACGGCCTGAAGCGGACTTTAAAACCCACACAGGCTCACATTGGCTTTCCTCCGCTCAGACTTGCACATATTCAATAGATTTGTTTACATTTAAATTTAATATAAGGCTTAAAAACACGTTTAACCATATTATCATGTGCACATGACTAAACTCCCAACACCAGAGCAGAAACCGTTAATTTAACAAGCAGATTCATGCAATTCTAGAGGAATCCCTTCAACTCATCTATGAGGCATCCTCGGTATTCCTGGACCAAGCAGAGACTGGTTGAGAGGCCCAATCCACCATGCTTTTCCAAATCCTTCTGCGAAACGCAGATATCATGAACGTCCAAACATATCTTCAAGTTTAGCCTTAAAAGCTCAAGAGGAACGCAGGCCTGAAGGTAACCGTCAAAACAGCTTTTCAGCCCATCACTCGTCATGTTTGACAGTTTAATGTTCACTTGTCTTCACTTGACGAGGCTCTGGTGATTCCTGTTGCTGCCTGCGCTGAAGGGAATGTCGAATTTCATAACATTTTCATTAATTATGATGCAGAAAAAGACTGGAGTTGGAATGTTGTTGTTTTACAAAATTCAAGAAAACTAGACTTCAAACTGATCTTCACAAGTCTTAGTAGTGATGCTACTTGTGCTCACTCACACCTGGAGTCCCAGAAGTAAGGTTTTTATTTTTTACTTGTGCGTGCTTTTGTTTCATCACCAACATCTTCTCATGTTCCTAAATATTTCAGCTGCTCTCCAGTGTGGATCTTGATTTTACAGGCTGTTTCCAGGCAGCCCAGCGGAACAGAGGGGCTTTGTGGCCCTCACATCTGGAAGAAGGGTTAAGTTAATCCTCTTGTAGACCCTAAAGCCTCAGGCTGACTGGACCTGGCCTGGGCCTGAGGAAAAGTTAAAGTTTTCTTAAGAAATTGGCGGCATCTTCCAGATAAACATGGGTAAAGGGAGGAAAACGGATTTAAACTCTCCATTAACTGAAATTATGAGAAAAAACACTAAATAATGCAAAGAAAACTATAAAATAATTGAATTAAACTCGGGTTTTGCATTTAGAATCAATTTAATTAATTAATAAACCTGCTGCTACCATTTAGGCAAAAGGAGGGTTCGAGAAAAAAATCACCCTCGTGGCAAATGACGTCACAGCGCTACGTAATACCGATGGTTACTTAAACCTCTTAAACAGAAATGATCTGGAGACATTAAAAAACACTTTAGGTAATAAAATAAGCCGTTTACTAAACAGTTACGTCATTAAGGAGGTCGGTAAACCTGGAAAGGATGAGAGAAAGACTCAAATAAACTCAAGAGCATCAAAAACACACAAAAATCTACATAAAAATCCCAACAGTAGAGCAAAACACCAGATTCGTTCTAAATAATCCGCTGAATTCCTCCAAATCCAAATAATCCGAGTTTTTCTGGAGTTTAATCAGCGCTGATTTCCAGCAGACGTGGGAACTCCAAACGCGACAGAAACAGATGCTGTCCGGAATTTGTGCTGAACTAAAACTAGATCTGTTTCCTACATCTGGCTGAAACTGCACGAGTTAAACTTTAAAGGATAACTTGTTATCTTAATGCGTAAACGTGGCGCCGGCGCGTCTCCACGCCACGTCGGACCCGAGAGGATTTTCTGTTTTACCTTCTGGTTCCGCTCGACTCGCTCGTCCCGGTACCGGGCGCGTTTCTCTGCTCTAGAAGCCACTCGTGGGTGTTAAACATCCAGCCATTCGGTGGTCTGGACTCTGCTTCTGCTCCCGGCTGAGCGCTCCAGTTATCTACTGAACTACTGGGTGAGGAGGACAAAGACGGCTCCCTTCGCTCCCCCCTTTTCTCCTCCCAGTTTAGCGCGCTCCCCACCCCCGTCTGTGCAGAAACCAGCGAGAAGGGCTTTTTTCCTGATGCAATCTCTCCTGCTGCATCTTTCCTTGCATCTCGCTTCTGCAGCTGAGAATGAAGCTCGTCCATGGACACAAAAGAAAGTGGAATCCAGAAATGAATGAGATTTTATTTCATTCGACCACTTTTTCATGGGATGCATGCCAGAACCTGTCATCCACACCTGCCTGCACGGCTCAGGCTGGAACATCAGGAGGAAAAAATGCTCCAATCTACTGTTCCAATCTTTGTTTGGGCTGCAGGGAGGCTGCAAACGGTGCACCCCCTCATCCTGGTGGTGCAGCTGTTCAGACATCACGGCTAGGACCCTTCATCAATGCCACAGTTTCCTGGGAGCAAAAGCAACACACGGGCTTCCTGACCCCCTCGTGTGTCTCTTTGAACCCATTAGTGCTTACTCTGCAATAAAGACTCTCCTCTCAGTTTGCACATGAGGATTAGGACGGGTGCCACACCTATTAATGCTCATTTTAGGATAAAATAGGACGAATTATCAAGCTTAAAACTAGCTGATGCAACACTTTCCTTGACATGGACAGACTCAGAGATTAAATGCTGCAGGCACTCTGTCAGCATCCCGAGGTAATCGCGCAGATTCAATGACCACATTGTTCTTTCAACATGTCTCAAAATGCCAGTCTTCAGTGCTGGGCTAGTAAAATGCACACAAAGCCTTTCTGGTGGCATACTTTCTGCACAGCATTGGTGTCTGCAGAGCTCGTTCACCTCCTTCTGACCACTATTGTTAAAAACCACACAAAGAAGAGCAGTTATTGTTTAATATCTGCTGCAAACAGTAGGTCAGTGGAGGAATGTGCAGCCCTTCCCCCTTCTCAGGGTGCAGCCGAAGCTCCATTGTCAGCCACCAGCATGCTTTTATTTGTGGGGTGCCCTGGTACACCAGTGACACAGAAAGGTGATCTCAGGACCGAGTGGTTCCTTTGTACCACGAGTTTACGTTTCTTAGATGTTCTAAACGATCTTTCCTGTTAATGCTTATGGAGGATGTGTCGTTGTTGTTGATGTAGTGTTGTCCAGATTACTGAAATCTGATGTCAGCAAACAGAAAACATGAAGGATATCGACCAACCAGGGCCAGATTAACACTTTGTTGTACCCTGGGCAACAATATTCAAGGGCCCCATCATCACGACCCGAGGATCACCATAATGTGGTCACATACAGAATATTTTACTGTAATATGCAGTAAATATACTCAATACTTGAATGCCTGACTTCACGTAACCCGCTCAGGGTAACCTTTGACCCACCTCGTGTGGACTGACCAATGAGGAGAGGGTCTTAACTTGAGGCCCTCTCTTCATTGGTCAGTCTGCATGAGACTGACTCTCAACTGGCGTTCAGTCGTAGGCAGCGAAGCGTCTCTGTGCAGCGCAAAAGCCCGGGTGGACAGTTTGTTTAATGTAGGGTGACCATATTTCCATTTCCAAACAAGAGGACAGGGGATCTGTGCCTATGACGTCACACTATGGCAACGCCACACAAACCATGTTGGGACCCATTTTTTGTAAGAACTAAATTAATATCAGATTCTGCCAATAAAAGGGCTCTAAAACAATTCATATGTAAATATTTAGTATATTTATTGCAAAATCTCATTTTTCTGCTTCAGTGCTGCAACAAGGTTTTATTAATAATAAATTATTATACCTTTTGTTTTACTACAGCATCGGTACGCTTCCTGTGCACAGATTATTAAGGATGCTTGTTTCAGCTGTGAGATTAGACGATAGGATCAATGAAAAAATAAGTTGTCACACACTCCATGGAAACTTTCAGAGAATCCACAAATAGTGGCTTTCAAACGGTTTTGTTACTTTTAGCAAGTTTAGAAAAGCAGCAGATGAGACAGCATGTCTGATAATTTAGTTTTTCATCTGATAATATTAGAACATGTCAGTAATGTCTGAGGGGCTTTTATAAACACCGTATAACTAACACTACTGGAGAGGGTATGGATTACACAGAGGCTTCTGGGGAGCCCAGATGGTGGTGGTGGTGGTGGGGGGGGGGGGGGGGTCATTTTGCCTTGGCCCCCAAAATGTCTTGAAACGGCCCTGGGTGTGTGACTGAGTTTTGAAGGTGATCTGAGCTGTATCAGATGTATAAATATGACATGTGTATAACTTATTGTTTTATGCAGGTAAAAACGTGTAGTGGAGATAAATCTACCTACATTTGACTTTTCAACACTTTGTTTTGTTTTCTTGTTTTTATTGAACTGTTTCCTGTCCTGTCTGTCTCTCGTCTTCCTGCATCTCCTCTTAATTCTCCAGAAAATCTGCTGCCTGGATTCTTACTTCTTCACCTCATCAGTTACTTCTGAGCAGACCACAGGGATCTCCTGACCACAAAGCGGAGAGCGCGTTTCGATGCTGCGTCGGTGAGTTGACATCACCGCAGCACAGGTGATGAGCTCCGCAGTAGCAGAGCGCTTCAGGCACAAATAAGACAGAAAGTAGAGAACATGTGCGGACATGAACGATCGTGTGTTAATTATAGTTTTTTGGTTGCGCCACTTTGAGAATGGACCGTGCGCTGGACGCAGCTGCCTGGAGCGCTGCACACCGATCATCGCTCTGCCGCTCTCTGCTGAAAAGAGTCCATGAATGATAATATAGAATATAGGTAGAAAACTTTTTTCTGGCTCCCCTGGATGTGTAGGATATCCAGCTCCCCCATCCCTGCTCCTGGATGAAAAGCCGGACATTTTCATCAATACAAGAACCCGGACATCCTGGACAGAGAGTGAAAAGTGGACATGTCCGGGGAAAACAGGACGGTCACACTAGTTTAATATAAAGCAGGAGATTACAGATACAGTATTTTGCTCGTGCCCTTGCTGCCCTGGGCCCTTTAGAGTTTGTGGGCCCTGGGCAATTGCCCAGTTGCCCAGTTGCCCATATGGTTAATCCGGCCTTGCGACCAACACTAGAAATTAATCTCGCTTTGCTGTCCTTTGATGACTAATTTCAAATGACAACGAATTTCTAAAAATTCCCTCTAAATATTCCCGGAGTCGTTGCAGGTGTCTGGAACCGGTTAACCATTCTTAGTTTAGCTTCATTTAGTCAAAAAAGATGTTTGACAACATTTTGAGCAGAAATGGGGATGAAGTCATCCATTTATCAAACTAAAGTCTGAAGAACACCAGCAAAGGGAAGTTTTCCACGCAAACTAAAGCCGGGCAGACACTGTGCGACTTTTTCACTCGTAGCGTTCAGCTTCAGCTCAAACTGTACGACTTCCTCGCTGGGCAGACCTCACGAGTCATGTGCTCACACTGCACGACCCAGTTCTCGCATGCGACCTGACTGCTCACACTGTAGGTCTGGTAGCAACACGTCGGACCTAAAAATATGCTAAAAATAGCAGTTTTTACTCAACACGTCAGACTTTTTGGTCTTGTTTTGCCTGTTGTCCTTTGGGAGTGCTGCAGGAGGACACACAGGGATTTATGGGGGTTGGATGAGGAAAACGAAATAAAGAAAGTAAATCTGTGTTTTGTGATCAGTTTAATTAGACATGAACACGACAAACACGCTTTCTTGACAATCCTTGTCACTGTGTGTGAAAAACGTGTAGAAACAAAAACGAACAGCGTGTGTTATTAGGGAAATAGTGGGCGAGCGGTGTTGATGCAGGATTGCACATGCAGCCGTGAGCGGTTCTGGTTCTTTTTGGGTTGCAGACGCTCGCTGCACCGCTTCAATCCTCACGAGGAACGAGCAAAATATCAAACACTCCAGAAGTCCGTGCGAGCTCACGATTGCTGATGGGTAGCTGGTCACGTGGTGTTAATCGCCTCTCGTAACCCCCTGTACACTACACGACGCTCGGCGCAACACTCGCCCCGATCTCGTGGATTCTCGCACGAGTGGAAAATCGGCTCATAAAGTGAAAAAGTCGCACAGTGTCCGCCCGGCTTAACTCTTCTCTTATTTGGAATGGCACAAGAAGAAGAGTTACACACACCAGGTAACAGTCTCACCGAATAATCTTCATCAATCCATCTTTGGTCTCTTATTCGGGGTTGGGTCACGGGGGCAGCAGCCTAAGCAGGAACGCCCAGACTTCCCCTTCCTAGGCCACTTGGGCCAGGTCTTCCGGGAGAATCCCAGACACATAGTCCCTCTATCGTGTCCTGGGTCTTCTTTTAGGTCTCCTCCCGGTTGGACGTGCCCGGAAAACCTCACCAGTGAGGCGTCCAGGAGGCATCCTGACCAGTAGCCCGAGCCACCTCAACTGGCTCCTCTCGATGTGGAGGAGCAGCGGGTCTACTCCGAGCACCTCCTGGATGACCGAGCTTCTCACCCTATCTCTAAGTGAGAGCCCAGCCACCCTGCAGAGAAAACTCATTTTGTCCGCTTGTATCCGTGATCTCGTTCTTTTGGTCACCACCCAAAGCTCGTGACCATAGGTGAGTGAAGGAACGTAGATCGACCGATAAATCGAGAGCTTCACCTTCTGACTCAGCTCTCTCTTCACCACGACAGACCGGTACAACGCCCGCATCACTGCAGATGCAACACCAATCCGCCTATCGATCTCACGCTCCACCTTTCCCTCACTCGTGAACAAAACCACGAGATACTTAAACTCCTCCACTTGGGGCAGGACCTCATCCCTGACCCGGAGAAGGCATTCTACCCTTTTCTGACTCAAGAGTACGTGAGTCAGTTTCTGTGAAAAAAGCTGTGGCATTCTTGTTTCGGGGGCTGGAAATTTGTCGGAGGAGCAGGGTCGTATTTTACGATCTCTCCTCTGATTGGCTAACAGCAAACGACTCATTAAACCCGAAACCCGACTGTTGCACTGGACAACTCATGTCACACTGCGAGAACTGTAATGAGATGGCACACGGTACCAGGGGCGGAT